AAAAAAAAAAAAAAAAAAAAAAAAAAAAAACGCATCTTAGTAAAACCAATACCTTCTCAGCTTCGCATCGAAGCTAAAAATTGTGTATATGTATTAATATAGTATGTGTCAGTGATAATGATGATAACATTGTTACTTCAAAAAAGTTTACTTAATTCTACCAAATGAAATCTTTTAATCTTTGATTAAGTATACATATAACTACTATCTCAGAATATGAAAAAATCAAAACAAGAAACAATATAGAATTTCAAATTATCACTAATAATTTAACACATGGCATATGAGAAGAATTAAGATTTTGATTGTATATTTTTCGCAAAATATATATAAATAATTTTATTTAATTATTAATTTTTTTTTCATTTAATAATCTCCCCAGAGAGAGGAAAAAATTGTGTCTGTATAATTTCTCAATTTTCTCATATGTGTATAGTATGAGTTAAATTGAGGACATAGAGGAGAAATTAAAAGAAATTTTTGGGGATAATACTAATTCAGAATTAGACACATTTGTTTTTGACATAATATTTTCTGACCAGGTACTCATTAATATTTTAGACGATGGAATATCACAATTGACTGACCTATTTATTGAACTGACCACAAAAACAAAAAACCATTTACACATTTTTAAAAGATCAAAGTTTTAATTTTATTTATATACTATTTTATAATTATTCAAAAAATTTTTTTATTAATATCTATCTATATATTTATTTAATAATAATAATAATAAAAAAGTTCAATAATTTAAATAAAAATAAATTTTGACCTTCTAAGATATTAATTTGATTACTTAATTATTATAAATATTAATGAAATTCAAAAATTTAAATTAAAGAAAATTAGTGATATATATTCATTGAAAAAAGATGACCTTATAAATTTGTGTAAAAGTAATAATGTGTTTTTATATACTTTGCTTGTTCTATATGGATAAAATCCTCCTTGGTTATTAAGTGTGATAGAACTCATGATTGAGCTAATGTTTAAAATAACAGCACTAGACTTTCCAACTGAGTTGCTATTTGTTTTTGATGCAGTTTTTAGAAGTGGGACAAAAGCCTAGAAGTAAAATGTGTAAATAAATTATTTAATATATATCAGGTATATTTCTAATATATAGTATTACTTGTGTGAGCATGATAGGACCAATAGTGTTGACTTTAAAATGATTTAATAAATCTTCAGATTTTACTAAACCAATTCTTGTGAATTTAGATGATATGCCAGCATTATTAATTAGAACATTCAAACCTTTATCTTTGACAACATTTGATACTTGTGACGCCAAATTAAAAAATGATCCATGGTCAATTAAATCTGATATTTAAACAAAATTATTAATACAATTCCTAAGATATTTTTAAATTTTTGATGCAGATTAAGATACATAATACTCTCTCAAGTACGCCTATTTCTATCGTTTATTAATATATACCATTTAACATTATATAGAGTGTTAAGTAAGGATACGGATTTCTATTGTTCTCATTGTTTGCAATTGATCTGTTACATTACTTATAGTACACCTGTATACACTTAGTTTAACCCATCAACGCCGAGAATTATTTTTTTTCAAACTTTCTATTTTTTTACTAAAAACAGATTAATGTACAACACAAAAATAAAAAAAAATTATTTTTAAATTTTTTGAAAATACAATTTCTGAGATATTGAGTGTCACCATATGGGTACACTTGGCTTTTACCTATTAAATTATTATTCTAAGAACGCGCGATAAAAATAGCAATACGAATGTCACCATATGGGGACGCCAGGCGTTGATGGGTTAAGAGAATAAGTTTTTCTTACAAATTATGAAACAGTGATTATTTTATAAAAGCTGTATCACACGCCTAGATCACAACTACAACATTCAAGAAAATTTTAATTTTAAAAAATATCCAGTAAAATTTCTAGTTAACTTTTTTCATATTTCAGGAAACTTTCTTTTAAGTTGACAGTTTTGATCAAGGGTTTGTGATATATCAATCTTAGTAACTTTTCAGGAAGAAAGCATAATTTCAATAGTGTCTTATGGAAATAAATATTTTTAAACGGCAATAAGCAAAATTTCTCAATAAAATCTTAATAAGCAGTAGTATTGTCTTATTGATTTTTGAACCAGTATTTCGGAAGTTATTAAGATTATAAAGTATTGACTAGAGATGAGCAGTGGGAGCTACTATTGCTATCACTAGTTATTTCCTGGTCGTACTTTTCAACCCGCCGGGTATAAAAGTGAGAATAACTTCCAAAATACATTAAATTAAAAGAAACTAATAAAAAAATGATTATTATTTTTAATTTTCGATTAATTAAGTGTTAAAGGAATCACTCTGTATATATATTTAGATACCATAAATGTAGGACAATATTTTCGATCCTGACAATAATTAAATTTAGTATGAATTGATATTCAACAATTTAATATTGTAATTTTTATACAGAAATTATAAAAAATTAAAAAGTAGTTGTATATTTCGTTACTTATACGGCAAGTGTGTATAAAAAAACCCAACACAGCACAGGGGGGTCGCGGCACAGTGGTGACGTGACATATTTGGATCAAGTATAATGATATCTGACAGTGATTAAAATCACTATCATAAAAAACGCTTCGATGCAAATCTTTAGATAGTGTTTAATTTTAAAAAATAGGTGGATTATTCAAAAAGCAACATGATCTGCTGGTTCGTTATTAATATCCTGATTCAGATAAAGTATATCGAATGAAAGAGGGATTATTAAAAAATATTATTTCTCATAAAAAAATTATGTTGATCCATACACTTTTCAATATGTTATAGCATTATAAAGTTAAAAATAAAAAAATAAAATCGAGAATTTTCACACAATAATAGCATTTGGTAGCCATTTTCACCCTGAAGATAAAATAAAGTCCGATATTTTTTTTTTTCACGATAAAGTATATTACATTAGCTTTAATTTAAGATATATATAAAAGTGTCAGACCTTCCGGAACACTTTCAAAAGTTAAGTTGAAAAAATTAATTTTTTGTAAAAAAGTTGTCATTTTAAATCCCCCCCTGTGGGCAGGTAAAAAGTCAGATTTATAAAAAAATATACCAAATGATAGGTAATGACATCATGCATCTATAAAAAAAAGAATTATATTGATATGTTTATTTTTAAAAAAGTTACGGCAGTTTTTAGTAAAAAATA